CTCTCCCTCCTTCCCTCCCTTCTTAAAGGTAGCTAAGAAAAAGAGCTCAGGTTGGAGCAACAAAAGGGTAGACACCAAGAAGGAGTCTTCGATTGCAATGGCAGGCACGTGAGCAGGAGCAGCACTGAAACGCATTTGCTCAGCGCGTGCCAGTTTTCAGAAAAGGACAGAGAATTGCTTATCCGGGCTGGATACATTCCTGGGATAATCGTCTGCAAATCCTCTTCCTCTGCATCCTGAATCATGTTCTTGTGAATGCCCCGCCCCCCGAAGAGCCATTCACCCCTCTCAGCCGTCCTCCCTCCCCTGTGACTTAAATGCGTCCCTCCTCCTTCCGCTGGCCTGTCTTCTGCACTGGAAGAGTCGGCCGCAGGCACACAGGGACCCCTGACACTGGAACCTCGTGTCCCGCAGGCACACAGGGATCCCGGAGTGCTTCCGGGGCTGCTCTTGGAGCCATTCCCAGGACGTGCCCTGGGGACAGAGTTTTAGAAAAAGCAACAACTAAGCCTCCCAGGTGAGAAGGCAGCACTGGCCTTGTTTAGATCAGCTGGGGAGTGGAGACTGAATTACATGATGGGACATCACCTCCTGGCGATTGTCACTCCTCCACTCTTAAAGCAGAAGGAAGGGGAAATGCAAGGCGATGCTGGGGAGGCTTGGTGTCCGTCTTTTTGGCCTCTGTGGGTGGAGCTGGGAGGTCTTCAGGAGGTTCTGCCCTGGGGCTCCCAGGAGAGGAGCCTCCCAAGGGCAGCTGTCCCCTGCTGTGGTTACAGCCTCAGTCGTTGCCAGCTGGCCAGTGGCCATCCATGTTTCCCATGGTTCTACTTGCCCCAAGGCAGACGCTTGGAGTGTGGATTGTCTTTCCTACAACTGGTTATTAGGGACACAAAGCCGTGGGCCAGTGAAGAGGCGGTCAGGCAGTGGGACCCTACCCTGCTGGAAAGTCCATCCGTGAGCGATGGCTCCCATGTTCCCGGAAGGGTCCTTGTGCTCCTTGCAGGCTGAACCTCACCCCCAAATTATCCAGGTCCTTAAGAACCTATCCTAGTTGGAAGAGGCTGTGAAGGAAAGTGGTTTCTCTCTCTGAGCCTCAGTTCCTACATCTGTGAAATGGGCATCGTGAGGAACACCCTCATGGGTTGTTACTGTATGAAACAGTGTGTACGAGGCTGAGCTTAGCGAGCGCTCGGTGACTGTCGGCTATGGCGACTTTTCACACCTGGCCAGTTCAGCAGACAGTTGTCGAGCTAGAGGCCAGGCCTTGTGCCGGAAGCACAGGTGCGTAGGAGACAGTCTGAGCTCTCAAAGAATCCAGAGAAGATTCCAGTTTCCATTCACAGGTCGTTCCGGGCACTGACAGCCCTGTCGCCCGATCCGGACGCCCTCTGTTGCCTCTGACCTAGTCCTTCTGGCCACAGCTGTGTCCTTCCTCCTGCTCTCACTTTGCCCCTCTGCTCACTAGAGAAGATCGTCGGCCATCATCCATGGAACTCTACCCTTAAGAGCCATTACTCCACGATGGCTCCGTTGTCTCTTGCATTTTCTGCAATAGCCTTTGTTTTTTTAAAGCCGTAGTTCTTATTTTGACAACTGATTTACTTTGGAGCTTTACTATCACGTTCCTCTCTGTTAGTTTTCTCGGGGAGACCCCTGTTGACCGATAGACGATGGCAGGGGTGACTCCGCATGCCCAGGTCGTAAGTGCTCCACATTTAGCACTTGCGTGGATGCTTTTCAGAGCTAGGGTGAGTGCTTCTCCGATCTCTGAATCTCCCTTCCTTGTGGGTCCCCTGCCGAGAAGGAGCACACGGCCTGGGGCAGGATGGCAGAAGATGCCGCGTTGAGTTCCATGGCCGTGCCTGGGCTTCGCAGTGCCGCGTCTGCTGGGGTGCGGCGCATGTGTGGCCGTGTCTGCCGGGGTGGGGCGCACATGTAGCGATGTCTGCCGGGGTGGGGCGCACGCGTGCGCTTGTCCCAAGGGTCCTGGGCCTCCCTGGCTTTCCCCCAAAATTAACAAAGCGGTGTGGACCAGGACTAGCCGGGGTGGGGCGCATGTGTGGCCGTGTCTGCCGGGGTGGGGCGCACATGTAGCGATGTCTGCCGGGGTGGGGCGCACGCGTGCGCTTGTCCCAAGGGTCCTGGGCCTCCCTGGCTTTCCCCCAAAATTAACAAAGCGGTGTGGACCAGGACTAGTAGCCTCGGCTGCCTCTTGCAGATGAGTCGTCGGCAGGACCTAGGAGAGCTGCCATCCCGGGCAGTCTGACTCGGGGCGGTGGGGACAGTGAGTCAGCGTCCCGGCTGCTGCGGGGCTGGAGCCAGCCTTGCCACTCAGTTGGTCTACTCTCGACCGCAGAATTGGTTCTGGCTTTTGGACCAGGGCGGCATCTTTGGGTCACCATGACAACTGCCAGGTCTCAAGTGGGAACCCACATTCAAAGAGGCCGACAGACTCAGCGGTTTCCAAAGCATACTCCTCGGTGCCGGAGTTCATTTTCTTAGGACTGCCACACGTCGAGCACCTGCTGTGTGCTGGGTGGTTCTGTATAGATGAGACGATTTTATGTCATTTGCTGATGAACATTTCTACCGTAAAAGTTATGTTTTTTAAATGATGTTTGGAGGAATGTCGTTCTTTCCATTGAGGGTAGCGATAAAAGCCTACTTATAAAATAAGTTCAGTTTATTTAAAAGGTAGGTGGATTTCCAGAAAACCATCAGGGGTTAGGAGTGTCAGTAGCATGCCAGTCCTGGTCTCTGTTGTACAAATGAGGACACGTTCGGGGAGGGTCAGCCCCCTGCCCACGGCGGGGCAGCTGGTAAGGTGAGGAAGCATTTGAGATCACTTGGTGGTGCCATCAGGGGTGAAGGTGTCACAAGCGATGGGCCCAGCTGTGTTTCCTCAGCTCTGGGGTTTTGTCACGGAGACGGGTGGGCTTGAGGTGGCCCTCCAGCAAACACAGAGTGGAAGTTACCGGAAATGACAGGCTTCTTAACACGAGAGGCCTGAACTTTGGAGTCTAGTGGAGCCGGGGCCCCTGGAGCTACACAGTCCCAGCTATCTCAGTGCAGCGAACCTCAGACCCCTCGTCAATATAATGGGGGTCGTGGAGGTGTCTGGTTCAGGGGGCTGCCATGAGGATCAGAAGGACTCAGCCACGCAGAGCTCCTCGCTCAGAGCCTGGCACAGGGAGTGTGCGCAGTGAGCGGGCACGGGCATTAGGTGTGAGTGTGGCGCGCAGCCCTGCCCAGGTGACAGACTGCACCAGGCAGAGGCCTGAGGCGGAGGCAGGAGCCCTGGCAGATTTGGGCTTCGCTCTCCAGGACGGGACAGTCGTCTCTAGAGAAGACTCTGTCAGTGAGAATGCCCTTTGACCTCCCGGTTTCGTTGACACTGGGTTCTGACGCAGACCCCGTGTATCCGTGGACAGCCACTTCCCTTCCCAGCGCCTCGGTCCCCAGATCTGCAACATGGGCCAGTTACCAGCAAAGCCATAGAGGTCATAATGGTAGTATCATAGGTCATACCCAGGGAAGGCGCCTGGGGAGTTTACCAGGCAGACAGGGCAAGGGGCTTCTCCAGGAGGAGTGAGCAGCGTGTGGAAAGGCACAGAAGCCCGGAAGAGGGTCCCCCGCGTTCCCTCCGGTCAGCAAACAGGTATCGCGTGCTTGCTCCATCAGGCCCCGCGCTCACATCTTCATCCGCACGAAGTATATTTCGTATCTAGAATATTACGTATTACCTGCTATTCCATCTAATCGTAAGTTCCCAGTGTCAAATCCTTACTATTAAAGTGGTAACTGTTTTTGTTCCCTTAGTGATGAGACAGGCTGGGGCTCAGAAGGGTTAAGACACGGCTGAGGTTGGACGCAGAGGCGCCAAATGCCTCCTCCAGCTCTCCCACCCGTGATACCTGTTACACGAGCACTGAGCTCGTTTCATAATAACTAGCGCCTTTATTAAGAATGGTTGGCTTTATTACGCCCTTACTCTATGGGGATCACTTGTGTGAGGTTTTACTCTCATTAAATCTAATCCTCACGGGACAGTCGGAGACGGATACTGTTAACAGCCCCATCGTAGGGACAGGAGCACTGAGGCTCAGCGGGCAAGAGACTGGCCTGGTCAGACATCAGGCGGGAGCTGGACCTGGGACCCAGGAGCCCATTCGATGCACCTGCTTGTCCAGCTGCTTCCGTAATTAGCTGGGGACTGACCATTCAGTGGACGCGGACCAGGTCATTCGCTCTCTCTTTTCTCTCTCTCTCCTTCCCTCCCCTCTCCTTCCCTCCCTCTTTCTTTAAACAGTACATCAGCTGGCAGGTACATGGC